TAACAGACTCATTGCAAGTTATCGCAAACACTTGATTGCAGTTGTTGCTGCTAAGGGTGGCCCAACCAGTTATTAGGTTTAGGGGGCAAACACTTTTTCACACAGGGCCATGTAGTTTTGGATTTTGTTTTCCCTTAATAATAAAAACCTTCATTTAAAAACTGCATGTTGTGTTTACTTGTTATCTTTTACTAATATTTAAATTAGTTTGATCTTAAACATTAAAGTGTGACAAAAAGAAATAAAGAAATCAGGAAGGGGGCCAACACTTTTTAACACCACTGTGTGTGTGTATGTATGTGTGTATATATATATATATATATATATATATATACACACCCATATATATTTAAATTTGTTCTGTTCAAATAGTAAAACATAAACTGAACTACATGACATTGTCTGATTTAACTAAAAACATTGGTTTTATATATTTAAAATTATAAGGAGTGTACACTGTAAAAAAAATAAATAAAAAATTGACCTAACTAAAAAAAAAAGCAACCTATCACAATCAACTTAAGTTAACTCAACTAGCAACCGACAACTTAACTTGTTCATCTAATGAATAAAAGTCAGTCTACTGAGTGTTAAAAGATCTGTCAGAGCAACCAAAGATTTTTTTTAAAGCATTTCGCAATGCAATTTTTTTTTCTTTTAGAACTATGTTTAATACCAAGTCTTCTACATAATATAGAGAGTATTTGCCTCTTAAACTAAAGGCACACATTTATGCTGATAGACAAATGTATTAAACAGGTTGCTATGTACATCGGTACACTATTCTCAACCATGGTGAGGATCAACAAATTTTAAATCAGTAAAAATATGAACTCTGATCCACATGACAGCTAACTGACAGTGACAACAGCAGCAGCAGCATTGTTCAATGTAAAATTGTTTGTTCAGATGACTCAATTTGAAAACTTGGGAGAACATTTGGATATGTTGTGAACAAATGCTTGAGTATCCAAGTAAGGAAAACAAAACAACTTTTGCTAGCAACAGAGTATTTTTGTTCAGTTCACACAAAAAATTAAACTGACTTCTACTAAAAATTCTTTGTTCAGGCTACTTTTTTTACATTGGTTAGTAGAACTTTTCGAAAGTTGAATTTTTTTTACAGTGTAGAGAATTAAGAAATTTAGGAACCAGATTGTTCATAATAGTGTGAAAACAGGGAAAACATGTATAGAATGTATTTTATCACTTAGCTTCTTTAATGATCACCAATATGTGTGTAAATATTTGCATGAACAAAAAAAAAAATCAACAACTGATACGTAAACCGAACAAATTTCACTTTTACTTTCTCTTCCCAGTTTACCCATGTATGCTTGATTGTATATATGCATTTGTTTAAACTAGTTAATGTGTGTTAGTATTTTAGTTTAATAAAACCTTTGTGCACAAATCCCGAGTAGTGATTCTGTGGTCACCGCTTGCAAAACAGTCCTTTTAACTTGCTACATGCTCTAGCATTAGTACTGCAAGAAGGTTAATTTCTGTCCACAAAAATAACATTTCTTAGACTTGAAAAATAAAAAAAAATACACTATTCACTGGCTGAACAGATTAGTTGATTGTAATATGTCTAGTGCACGTTCCGCATCCACACATCAGTCTGAATGAATAAATGTAGTGTTAATGGCAAGACTAGTTTAAAAAGTCAACAACCCACATATATCACTGTTTTATGTCACATTAGAATCAAGGTTGAAATGACTTTTTAGTGAGTGATTTATGTAGTGTGTAAAGTAGTTGTGTGAAACTAAAGTTATATGACATTTGGCTGAGGTTTTCTGTGCAGGGGTACTTAGGTCTCTACCTGTAAAGCGTAGCATTTCTGTAAAAGGCAATATCCTCCATAATCACTCTGATGCTCCTGGAGGACAATATAAATTGAGTGTCACTCATCAGAAAACCTAGTAAAGAAAGCTTATCCAGTTCAGCTTTCATGCAATGAATGCATGGGGCAGCTATGTAATTGAAATGCTAAAGCAATGCATGTTTTTTTTTCTATTAAAAAAAACAAAAAACAAATGATAATGACTCTTCAAGGGGCCTAAATAAATAGACAAATAAATAAATAAGACAGCACAGCAAACTTAGATGGCAGCACTCTGTAATATCATATTTTGTCATATAAATTGGGCCTACATATGAATTTATTTACAAAAAAATTGTAACAATACTGCTAATAATACAAAAAAACAAATATATACTATGCATTACACTGAAAAAAATGATACATTTTTTAAAGTTAAAGTGGTTGCAAACTATTTATTTTAGCTACATTTAATAAAAAAAAAATGTCAAAAGTTAGTCAACTAAATTTATTTAAATGTAGCTAAAATAAATGAACTTAAAAATTTTTTCAGTGTATTAGATACTTTATGAAACCGAATAAATCTAACGTTGACTTATATTTATAGCTGGCTTTAGACTTAAGATATCCCCAATGGTTTTCTTCTTTGTAGTAGCACAGCAGGAATGACCTGGGCCGTTTCTCAATATGCGTTCTTGGAATTGAGAAACAGCCCTGGTTTAGTGTGAGTGTGTGTCGAGTTGTTTATACTCAAAAGTAGTGTTTTATTTACATTCATCCCAGACTTACATTTCAAGGCATAAATCAGTCAGCCATGATTATTTTTTCATAATCCTATGACTTCATCCACATGAAATATGGCTTGTTAAAAAACTAAATTACATAAAAAATAGTTTTGAAATTGTAATAAAGAAAATCAAAATGGATGGTACAAGCTATATTTATTGCTTTACCTATATACATGTATCCATACAGTAAGCTGAAACACCTGTAACATTCATGACAAATGTTTAAATAGGAACAACACTTAAATTATGAAGTCGTGACAAATCATTACTCACGATCATACCAAAACAAGGCAGGGCATTCCAACAATCATAAATCAACAAATGAATGAATCATTTAAAAAAAAAAAAAAAAAAACTAACTCTCATTTGTAAATCACAGACACAAAGGTGCTGCCACAAATATCAAGGATATGTAGTCACATCTTATTTCAACAGGACAATATCCAAATACAGTAACTCTCTGGAGACATAAAGCTAACCGGATCATGTTTTTTTCCCCCTGGACTACAGAATATCATACACCTGCATGAACAAGTGCAATCCAACTATGAAACTAAGCCAACGGCTGAGACTAAAAATGGGGCAAATTCACATCTTTATTACATTTTATGACTTGTTAAACATAGCCAACAAACCAAAATTAACCAATGAAAGTCATGCAAAAACATGAGATGGGTGCAGCTGTTTATGTTGTGTATTTAAATTTTAACCATTTAGAGCCATTTAGACAATTTACAGTGATACTCATGAAACCTTTAAAAAATATCTCTGGGTCGACCACAACATCCAAAAAAAAAAATAATTTTGGGGTGAAACTGGGTGTTTCATGAGATTAATCCTTTAACACTCCATTCATTTTTTCCCTATATTTTATCTTTAAATAATTCCCTGAATAATCTGAAATTTTAGGCAGATTTCCTGTCAAAAACAAACTCATTTGAAAGATTCTCAAAATGTATTTTTAATCAATTATTAACATTATTATTTTAGATCGTTTTAATTCAATATGACAATATTTAGTTGATAAAATACGTGCAAGAGCAGGTTTGGAATACATTACAGCAAGATAACAGGTGCTAAGGGAATGTCTTGGGGTACAACACATCTCACAACCAGCAGAGAATGGTAAAAGAACTAAGAATCCAGACAACTAATTTGAATGAAAAGATGTGTGTTTGTCGACTACCTGCATGCTTATGCACTCTTAAAAATATAAAGGTGCTTAAAAGGTTCTTAACAGCGATGCCATTGAAGAACAATTTTTGGTTCCATGAAGAACCAGCTGTTTCTTACCTTTTTATAATCTGAAGATCCTTCTTTTGCCACAAAGAACCTTTTGTGAAACAGAAAGGTTCTTCAGATATTAAAGGTTCTTTATGGAACCATTTAGACAAAAAAGGTTCTTCTATGGCATCGTGAAGCACCTTTATTTTTTAAGAGTGTGGGTGCTATAATAGTTCTTTTTTTTTTCTTAAAGATATTATGCATCTTCTTTATTTAAGTTTTTCTTTACATATCCTCTCTTTCCCCCACTGGTGTACTTGGGGGCAAGTCATTCTACATTGCCAAGAGAGTTGTCCACTTCCTCCTCAGTGGGGCTGGGTTCTAGCCCCATACTCTCTGTTTGGCACAGCTCATCCAGCAGCTCCTTTCCCGCCTCTCCAGCACGAGACGCCCATAGCACAGCACCCTGTTGCAGTCCGATGGAGCGAAGCAGCTTAGCGTAGTCCACAAAGGCTGCACCTATAAGCTTATGTGGAGATGCTGTGGTTAAGGAAGACTGGGAATAGGAAAGTAATATAAAAGAAAAAAAAGACCAAGCAACTACTTACTACTAATGTAACCCCTAAAAGTATTTGTAAACTTAAGTGGACACCAGAACACATAAGTAAATGGTTTCTTGTAAGCCAGTTTTTTGAATTGCTAAGGACCATTTTAAATGTAGAAGTGTCCAAATATTTCTTTAGGCCATTGTTCAGACCCTGTGAAATGAATTGCTTCAAACATTAAACAGAGTGTCAGTGTGATTCTTAAAGACCCAAGAAATGATTTGACTTTTATTTTCTTGTATTGATGTATTTTGTAGGGAAACAGGTAGCTTGAATGGGACTTATTACTTACAATTCAGCTGGTATTAAAATGAACATAATTATCATTCTAAAGAGCATTGCTGTGTCCTAATTCTGCTATTATTATATCCTTGTAGGTACTCTTTTTGTGAAGAAAAAGTAAATACTTTTATGTGTAGCAGAAGAGTATAAGCATAATTACATGTATTCTTTCACCATAAATTAGCCCGTCACAGATAACATCCTCATATACACACTCTGCATCCTCTGTGAGTCCCTATAACTCAAGTGGATAGTAATGCAAACCTTGAGGCTTCAAAAAACACAACGTGAATACAACAGGAACTATCAATAGGTGTTTTCCATTTGAACATAATTGCTTTGTAAAGTGGGCTTCACAGGTTATGTAAGATTCCTATGAGATTTAAATCCAAAGGGAGAGTAGATGATCAGTTTGAAGGGCACTGCAAATGGCATAGGTATATGGGCAGTGGACACTGCATAGGGACCCAATCAATCAGAACACTGCTAATGTCTTCAGAAATAATTTTGCTTCAGACAAAGTTGATTCATTCATTAAGGTCTTATGGGTTGTTCTTCAAGGTGGCTTTGTGCAGTTTTTGAAGCGTCAACTTTTGGGCACCCCTTGCATTATATGGGTCTCACAGAGCTAGACTACTTTTCTCAAAATCTATGTTGTATTAATCTGAAGAAAGAATGTCATAGACATCTGGGACAGCATGAGTGTGAGTAAATAGCTGCGTATCCACCGTCGGGCCAAAATGAGAGAATGCTTGTGAGTGCCAGGCAATGTTCCCTCTAATTTTATTTCTTGCTGAGCAAAACTTTTCTCTATTGGGCGGACATTTCGGCCACCTGAGCAAAAACATTCTTTATACCAGACCTGTACAGCGCGCACACAAAAAAAGTGTGTAACTTTTAACTTTGATGTGCTATTTGTATTTAATTTGACCTGTGACTAAATTATGTACATTTTAGGTTACCTGAGAAAACTTATTTTTTTACAGTATAATACACTGCCATTCAAAAGTTTGGGATCAATAATGTTTATTAAAGAAGTTTCTTATTCTCATCAAGGCTGTATCTATTTGATAAAAATACTGAATACATATTACTGAAAAAATACTGGAGACATATTATGCCCCTTTTTACAATATATATCATCTCTAATATATAATAAAGTCTCTGGTGTCCCCAGAATGTGTCTGTGAAGTTTCAGCTCAAAATACTCCACAGATTATTTATTATATCATTTTGAAAATGCCTATTTTGAGTGGAAGCAGAAACACGCTGTTTTTCATGCCTGTCTCTTTAAATGCAAATGAGCTGCTGCTCCCCGCCCCCTTTTCCAGAATAGAGCTGCGCCTTTACAGCTCGGACCTGCTAAAAACATCTGTTTTGGTTCTGATTATCATGTTTATCGCGCTGAAATCATGTGTTTTAAGTTTAAACTTCTGATATAGGGTTTTCTGAACGCACATATCCGAAGCACACGCACAGAAAGTGGCTGTCACAGCATGTGAGTACTAAACTAAGTTCTCATTCACACACAAGTTTACGTTAAAAGCACACAAGTTACAAAAACAGTCAGTTATGTCTGTGAAGGTAATCTGCTGGGAAACAAATCGCAGGTTTATTTTAGATCCGTGTTGCAGCAGCAATATACAGTAAATAAATCAATAAAACCACTGCTCTCTTGTCTCATCTGAGGCTGGGACTCTAATAGTGTTCTGTGCTCGTCTGTGCAGCCAAAGACAGAACAGTTAGGATGCTTTGCTCAAACTTTGGCCATGGCATTAGAGCTGGTACACCGTTGTCGCTTGCGAAAACACAATGACGGCGCTGTGGGTGTATTACATTTACAGATTAAGGGGCGGTAATATTATGAGATCCCTTTGCCACGTCACCAAGGGAGCGAAATCAGATGCACTCGTTTTCTCAGACGCTTGCAGAAAAAGGCTTCCCAAAACAAAGTTACTGGGTTAATCTTTTTCACGTTTCCTTGGTTGGTAGATGCACCGGGGACCTGATTATAGCACTTACATCATGAAAATCTGACTTTTCCAGGTTTTGTCACCTCTAAAATAAAAGTTTTCTATTTTAATATACTTTAAAATATAATTTATTCCTATGAAGCAAAGCCATTTTCAGCATCATTACTCCAGTCTTCAGTGCCACATGATCCTTCAGAAATCATTCTAATATGCTGATTTATAATCAATGTTGGAAACAGATGTGCTGCTTAATATTTTTTTGGGACCTGTGATATTTTTTCAGGATTCTTTGATAAATAAAAAGTTAAAAAGAACAGTGTTTATTCAATGTTGTGTTACAATATACACTACTATTCAAAAGTTTATGGTCAGTATTTTTTTCTTTTTTAAAAGAAATTAATAGTTTTATTCAGCAAGAATGTGATAAATGGATAAAAAATTATAGTAAAGACTTATATTTTTAGAAAATATTTCTATTTTGAATAAATGCTGTTCTTTTTAACTTTTTATTCATCAAAGAATCAAAGAAAAAAGTAGCACAGGTTCCAAAAAATATATATATATTAAGCAGCACAACAGTTTCAACACTGATAATAAATCAGCATATTAGAATGATTCCTGAAGGATCATATGACACTGAAGACTGGAGTAATGATGCTGAAAATTCAGCTTTGCTTCACGGGAATAAATTATATTTTGAAGTATATTAAAATAGGAAACCAATACTAGAAATTGCAATAATGTTTCACAATATTACATTTTTTTTTCTCTGTATTTTCGATCAAATAAATACATCTTTGATGAGCATAAGAGACTCCATTAAGGTCAATTATTTATTAGGTTTATAATATAGGCCTAACATAATATAATATCAAAACAAACTGAAGCATTTAAACTGATAGCATAGAATAGAGTACAAAACAAACTGAAGCATTTAAACTGAGATCTGTAAGTTAAATATTTTTAAAAAAATGTGAATGTGAATTCTTCTATAGCTAACTAAACATCCTATGAAGTACAGTTTGCACAATACACCTGTGTTGACTAAATGTCTCTGGGCTTCCTCAGGGCCAAAGAGGTTTTTGGCACATTGAATTCAAAGCAGGCCAACTGGGGCTTGAGGAGTGGTCATGAACAAAGGACAAATTTATCGAAGTCGAATGTCAACTTTATCGAATGTAACTTGGGGTAACCCAAGAATCAAAAGAGACAAAGAGACAACACAACATGCCCATCATGAGTAAAACCACGAGGACAATCATGAGTTAAGACTTCCTTGGATTGATTTCCCCCACCCATGACAGAGACCAGACTCTGACTACTACTACTACCTTTCTGACTTTTTCCTCACAGAACTGAATTCCTCACTGCCTTTACATATATAAATGCATTAGATCATTCTGAAATGATGCAAAGAGTAATGTCAAGTCTGTAACCCACACATGTGACTATCATGTTCTAATCACTCATTGTTTATGTCACTTTTAATAACCATTGAATAGTTTATAAGTTTATGTCCGAATTTGGTATGTGTGTGTGCGTGTGCGTGTTTGATATTCTTGTTATAGAAATCATGTTTAAATTATACTCTGCAAGAGTGGGAAATTTGGACCATGTGACTAACAAGATAACATGTTGATTTATGTATTGGGAGGAGAAACATAGCAACCTAAGCTAGGACAAAGCAACAACCTGGCAAATCCCCTTTCCACCACAACGCCACAAAACACAGAGGAACGCAAGTATAATAACTCCAGAGTCTAGTTTGAACTGGTGCATTTAATATAAAGTTTCATAGCCTCATTGAAAAAATTGGGTACAAGGGTAAATAAATTGATGGATGTTTGAGGTCTAAGAAATTGCTAGAAACTTGGGATTCCATATTCTCACTCTCTTAAAACTCCTTATTTTATCACTTTCTTTCTTCCTGCAACTTGTGTGAATGTGTGAGTGCATACGTTTACATTAAATTAGTTTATATGTCTTAGATTTGTACAATAAAGTCTTGTTCATATTGAAAAGAGAAGTATCTTGTGTTTTGTGCTTACAAGTTAATGTCTTAAACTGCCGATCTTGTTACCATTACAATAAACAGTGTTTTTCACTATGTTTTTGATATTAAAATCAGCTGCAGAACTCATTGTTACGGCCATTCAATTAATCACTGGCCGATTCATTTGATCAGCCATAAAACAGTGATTCTGTCAAAATTCCCTATAAATATCATAATTAATTTCCCTTCAGCTAAATTTAACTTTGTTCCAGTCAGGGAAGTTTCAGAGAATGTTTGGGTTGTTGGCGGCAGCCTCTACATGATTTTTTTTCTGCTTCATATGCGGCCACTGCAGGTTTTGGTTAAAAGCTGCTTGGATGCTCTAGCCACTTACTGTGAAACCTTATACAGTAGGGGTTTTCAAACCAGTACTGGGAGCACATCCAGGACTGCACATTTTGTATATCTCCCTCATTGTATATTTCCTGATTCAACTCATCAGCTCATTATTACAGACTGCAAGACCTGAATAGGGTGTGTCCAATAGGGGAGACATACAAAATGTGCAGCGCTGGGGGTGCTCCAGGACAGGTTTGAAAACCCCTGCTGTACAGTCAAGGCATCTATATGGAGAGTGGAGACTGCACCCCAAACAGTTAATTTATTATTTTCATTGATGCAATTCCTTCTGGGAGTGGATGCTCTAACTCACTGCTGGCCGAGGACTCACAAGTAAGCGTTTCCTCCAGTAAAATTACTGGTTAAGTTATACACAAGATCAAGCTGGAAAGACAGTTAAGTACTGCAGGTAGTACTGAGATGGCTTAACCAACCATAGTTCTCAGAAGCTAGTGGAGCTGCTGACAGCACCCAGCACGGTGTGGTGACGAGTCATACTGTAATTTGCAAGAGCACTTAGAAGACAGCCATGCTTCTATGTTCAGAATCTGTGTGGCTGGGATCAAAGCTTTTCATTCCCACATTCATGGTCACTCAGTTGGCAGAAATAACCTTATTACAAGGTTTCTAAGGGGAACAAGATGGTTAACCCCCCCTTGCATCTCAACTATGCATATTTGGTATCTAGTTTTCCATCAACTGGTGTATATCACCTCCACATAATGTGCGTTGTATACTTGTTATATTACTCAGAGTATAAATGGACACCAAACTGCCTGCCCACTGTGATCATGCAAATGAGCTAGCTTCCAAATAAAGAAAACTTTTCTGCTTTTTTTTACATTGGTCAAGCCAAACTCAAAGAGGTGTGATCTCTGCAGAAGTTAAAAGCCATGACCTCCAGACTCCAAGTGAAGAGAGAAAGTTGGAGAGAAATGGAGACCGTGACACTGCAAAAAGTTGTTAATGTTGCATGTTTCCATCTGGGAGAGAACTCTCCCAACCACATCCAAGTCAGAACAACATTGGTGAAGTACGTTTTGCTTCACTCAACCCAGACGAACTTGATCAGAACTTCACCACCTTCAAACTATTGAACCATCAAGACTTTCATCCAAGACTGTATCCGGATGCTTGTTCAGCATCCAAGGCAATGCAAGTATCGTACATTTAACTATACTAAACAGAGGCCCCTCTGTTACAAAGGTGCTGATGGTTCTGTTTAGGTGGTTAGCTGACTCACTTTTACGTTCCTTTTCCCCCCATGTATGTATGAGTGTGTGTGTATGTGTTAATTTAGACTAGTTCAAGTTTAAGTTAAGTATTGTTTTTATGGTCACCACTTGCAAACCAAGTTCCTTTAACGAGCTGATCTTGCTACATGCTCTGGTGCATTAGTACTGTTTTAAAGTTATTTTTCATGGCCACGAAAATAATATTTCTAAAAGTTAATATTAAATTACACTGAATGTTCGCTGGACGAACAGATTAGTTGATTGTAATATTAATTGTGCTGCAGTTACTTTTGGCAGCAGATTTTTTTGACACAATGTTGAGTGAGCTGAAAGGAAAGGAAGCATCTCCAGTTACTCAATGCAAGCTTGGTTACACTGCATAACCAGAGATGTTTTCTGTTGCTCTGGCTGAAAGGATAACAGTATAGCGAGATGGAAGAGAGCTCAAACCCCCTCAGATTGCATAATTTCCTGGAAAATTAATAGAAATGCTAAAGTAAGCCCCAAATCAGGTTGTTTGCATTGCTGTGCATTCCTGTGATAACACAAAACAGAAGCAGGCATGACTGAATAAGTATGTGTGATCTCTTTTTATGTGCACTGAGGACACAAATTAATAAACTACTGTCACGGTAACATTTTTATTGCTAAATTATTGGTTACATATTGATGATGGCTGAAGTCTGCATGTGAAGTGCAAACACCCACTTCTGTTATGTTTGTTTTAGTCAGCTTTCCCTTGTTGGTGAAATGGGGGGGGGGGTTTAGAGTAGCAAAGCTTGATTTCGTTCTTGAGGTCTGAGCCTGTTGTTAGCCCTGGCTTGCACTAGCCTCACAGTGGAAAAGCAGGAAATTATGAAAGATTAAATTTTTTTTGGAGTGGTGTATATATTAAGATTCATCTACTTTTAGATGAGACATCAAAACATTGTTTGTCTATCAATAAATGTTTAAATTTTCATGGGGTCTTTAATATTTTAGTTTGTAAACAAACAAATAAACAATATATGCATATTAGTTTAAAATTTTTATGGCATTAGTTTTAAAGTGAATAGAGTCTTGCTGCATTTTCCTGTTTGAAAAACTGGAATATGCATTAGAAGGATATTAATGTCGTCATTTGTCTCCATCACACCATATTTCAAGCAGGCTTCAATAAAGAGTGCAGCACGGTCGAAATATCTCATGCTGTCAAGAAATGTAAAGATATATCAGAGGTATATGTGAGCATCATGTCCTTTAACATGCACATTCAAATGTCAAACTGGTGGATGCTACACTTTTTAACAGAATGCCTAGGATGTGTCATTTTCACCAAGATGATACATAAAACAGTGCCTTTTACAAAGAGTTTACTGACATTCAGGCATGACACATAACACACTGAGTGACAATGATATTCTCACTTAAAATGTATTATCCAATTTTAAACTAATTCTTCAAAAATGAAAACTATAATTTACCTTCAGGTAATTTTCAACCCATATGACCTTTTTTCTTCCATAAAACACACAAAGGAAAAGTTCTAAAGGAATGCCAAGCTGCTCTTTTATGAAACAATAAGAGCATACTGTGATCAGTGACTAGAAAAAAGTACTATAAGGTATACAGTAAATATCTTCCTAAACTTCTGAAGACAATATCTTTATAATTTTAATAACTTGGCATGTTCTGTGTCAGGTTTGATATAAACAAAGCCACACATTCTCCAAAACATTTTGCTTTTGTGTTCTAAGAAAAAGAAAGCCATATGGTTTTGAAACAACATGAGGATTTGTCAATTTTGTTTATTTGTTTTTTATTTTACAATTTTTTATGCTTCATTCCTAAAACAGACATTACATTTTAATGGATGAATGGGCAACAATACTCTGAATGGTCTAAATGAAAAACAAAAAGAAAAGAAATGCGTACCTGTGAAGCATCTCGCCCACTTTGTGAAAGCATCCTAATGAGAGCAGGACCAGGATGGCCTTTGATTTCTGATTTACCTGAGGAGAACACAGATGCTCTGCCCAGCGCTTCAGCACATCTGAACTTTCTGCTGGGCTCAGACGCACCTGAGAGAGAGACATCAAGGTAGACATTAAGATATATGAGATTCCAAAGCATTCATTTTCCTCACTATTTACAGATTGTTTGCTGCATATTGATCACATAAAACTGCAGTATAATTGGCTGGCTGCTCCAATCTAACTGGATGACTTCAACATGGAAACAAGCTGTATTTATAAGATAGCAGGAGGATATAATGAGTGCTGCAGAAGACACTTTGCCACTTTCCATGTCTTTTACTGTGACATCCTCAATTTCAGATTTATAAGTCCCTGGCACATAAAATAAAACTCTGTTTGGTTAAGTGGGTAGTTATTGGCCAAAATGAACTCCAAAGAGTCTGGTTTATTGCTCTCTCTATAAGTACATTTGTGGAAATGCATTGAACCATTTCTAACACATTTTTTGCTACTAATGTTTAAATCAGAACTATATTCACAGTGTTTATCAGTTTTATATTGCTAGCAAAGCAATTGTGAATATATCACAAAGAACTGATTCATTACTGGCTCTAGATTGTGTTTGCTCAAAGTACAGTACCTTGGCCAGCCAGGCAGCACGGTTCCACTCTCCATACGTCTGCAGATAACGACAAGCATCTGCTGCTTTGTCGATCAGGCAGAGCAACTGCACACCCTCTAAGAGACAGAGATGCAAGCCCGCAAACAGTTTGCTGAAGACAAGCAGACTAAGGACATGGATTACTGGAACCATGTCCTGTGGTCTGATGAGACCAAGATAAACTTATTTGGTTCAGATGGTGTCAAGCGTGTGTGGCAGCAACCAGGTGAGGAGTACAAAGACAAGTGTGTCTTGCCTACAGTCAAGCATGGTGGTGGGAGTGTCATGGTTTGGGGCTGCATGAGTGCTGCCGGCACTGGGGAGCTACAGTTCATTGAGGGAACCATGAATGCCAACAAGTACTGTGACATACTGAAGCAGAGCATGATCCCATCCCTTTGGAGACTGGGCCGCAGGGCATTATTCCAACATGATAACGACCCCAAAGACACCTCCAAGACGACCACTGCCTTGCTAAAGAAGCTGAGGGTAAAGGTGATGGATTGGCCAAGCATGCGCATCCTCAAACAGAAGGTGGAGGATTGCAAGGTCTTTAACATCCACCACCAGACTGATTTCGTCATGGAGGAGTGGAAGAGGACTCCAGTGGCAACCTGTGAAGCTCTGGTGAACTCCATGCCTAAGAGGGTTAAGGCAGTGCTGGAAAATAATGGTGGGCGATTCGATATTGTGGCACATGTGCAGCAGTGGACCACGCTTAATTTTACAATGTTTAAAATTGAGTAGAAAAGTGCGAGGTTTCTAAAAAAGAATGAATAGAGCATCTGTTAATAATCTGGCCGCAGAGGAACACAACTGAGCTGCCTGATATAAAGAGACGTAAACCCCAAAACAGAGCTTTACACTTGTGCAATACGGAAATATCTGCAAAGTGTGCTACTTATCTTTGTCAACCTGGCAACCATATGCACATGCGCTCTCTCTCCACTGTGGATAAACGCGCTTGCTTTCTGAAAACAGCGGTTGGCTTGCAGTTTAGCGATCTCCACTTCAAGTCTATTCTCAGAAAAGTGTGATTCATCAACTGTTCATTTACGACACACAGAGACAGAGAGAGAGAGAGAGAGAGAGAGAGAGAGAGAGAGAGAGAGAGACTATGTATGAATTACCACCGTTTTGCCGCGTTTCTCTATTAACAGTAGAGCTGTGGCTTTAATTCCTTTAGAAACAATGATGCTACCAGCTCCTTGTTGAGAAAGATAATGTAGCTCTTGAGCAATTAAGCTATTTAGTTGATAAAACTGCGGGTCAGTGCTAAAAAGTTTGTTCCTGAATGTCTGAGTTCGCCCGCAACGTGATCTGTGGGTGTGACTGCACCAAACTGCTTCCGTTTCACACAAATGCTGGCACAGACATGCATGTTCGGCTAGAGTCACTTTGAACTCGTGCATCTTCGGAAGCGGAGCTGAGCGGAAAGTTACAAAAAATGTTGTGCACACCGCCACGTGAAACGACATTGCGCGCACTCAAAGCGAACTTGCGGACACTCAAGTATAAATCAGCCTTAAATCAGCCTTGAGAGTGTGTGCGTTAGCGCAAAAATGTCAACAATTCTGTGTTTTTCTGTCAATATGGGGTGCTGTGTGTACATTAATGAGGAAAAAAAATTAACAAATGATTTTAGCAAATGGCTGCAATATAACAAAGAGTGACAAATTTAAGGGGGTCTGAATACTTTCCGTACCCACTGTATATATATATATATGTGTGTGTGTGTGTGTGTGTATGTATACACTCAAAAAATTTGAATATCGTGAAAAAAGTAAATTTTTTGTAACTTGTTTCAAAAAGTGAAACATTCATATATTCTAGATTCATTACACAAAGTAAAAAATTTCAAAAGTTTTTCTTTTAATTTTGATGATTAGAGCTTACAGCTCATGAAAGTCAAAAATCCAGTATCTCAAAATATTAGAATATTTACATTTGAGTTTCATTAAATGACCATCCCTACAGTATAAAATCCGAGTATCTCTTGTTCTTTGAAACCACAATAATGGGGAAGACTGCTGACTTGGCAATGGTCCAGAAGACGATCATTGACACCCTCCACAAAGAGGGTAAGTCACAGAAGGTCATTACTGAAAGGGGTGGCTGTTCACAGAGTGCTGTATCAAAGCATATTAAAGGCGAAGTTAACTGGAAGGAAGAAAATGGGTAGGGAAAGGTGCACTAGCAACGGGGATGACCACAAGCTTGAGAATACCGTCAAGCAAACCCTATTTAAACACTTGGGAGAGCTTCACAAGGAGTGGACTGAAGCTGGAGTCAGTGCATCAAGAGTCACCACGCTCAGACGTCTTCAGGAAAAGGGTTACCAAGCCACTTCTGAAACAGAAACAACGTCAGAAGCATCTTACCTGGGCTAAGGAGAAAAAGAACTGGACTGTTGCCCAGTGGTCCAAAGTCCTCTTTTCAGATAAAAGTACATTTTGCATTTCATTTGGAAATCAAGGTCTGGAGTCTGGAGGAAGACTGGAGAGGCACAGAATCCAAGCTGCTTAAAGTCCAGTGTGAAGTTTCCGAAGTCAGTGATGATTTGTGGTGCCGTGAAGTCTGCTGGTGTTGCTCCATTGTGTTTTATCAAGTCCAAAGTAAATGCAGCCGTCTACCAGGAGATTTTAAAGCACTTTATGCTTCCATCTGCTGACAAGATTTATGGAGATGCTGATTTCCTTTTTTCAGCAGGACTTAGCACCTGCCCACAGTGCCAAAACCACTTCCAGATTTATGGAGATGCTGATTTCCTTTTTTCAGCAGGACTTAGCACCTGCCCACAGTGTCAAAACCGCTTCCAAGTCGTTTGCTGACCATGATATTACTGTGCTTGATTGGCCAGCCAACATGCCTGACCTGAACCCCATATGGAATCTATGGGATATTTTCAAGAGAAAGATGAGAAACAGTCGATTCAACCATACAGACGAGCTGAAGGCCGCTATTAAAGAAACCTGGGCTTCAACAGTGCCTCAGCAGAGCCACAGGCTGATCGCTTCCATGCCACACCTCACTGATGCTGTAATTTGTGCTTAAGGAGCCCTGACCAAGTATTGAGTGCATAAATGAGCATAATTTAATCTTTTTGACTTTCATGAGCTGTAAGCTTTAATCATCAAAATTAAAACAAACAAAAAAAACTTTTGAAATGTTTTACTTTATATGTAATGAATCTAGAATATATGAAAGTTTCACTTTTTGAAATAAGTTACAAAAAAAATAACTTTTTCACGATATTATTTTTTGAGATGCAGCTGTATATTCAAATTTACATCTACAGTGGGGCAAAAAAGTATTTTGTCAGCCACCAATTGTGCAAGTTCTCCCACTTAAAAAGATGAGAGAGGCCTGTAATTTTCATCATAGAATAATAAGGTATTAATATTAGAATGTATTATCTCTAAGACAGAAATATATTACAATTGTAATAGCCTACAACTTGACTGTAAGTATATTAATTATTTTACAACAGTAATAAGTTGAATTCTGTATTAATGCTTAATTCTACATTAGAGTTTTAAGATTTGAGCCTACACTAAGAAAAATACAGTTAGGTCCATATATTTGGACAAAGGAACATTTAAAAAAAAAAAAATTTTTAACTGCTGACCAAAACATAAATAAGTTAAAAGCTGTTTCATGGACAGGCGTGGGCTATTCTTTCATTATTTCGACATAAAATTAAGCAGGTAAAAGGTCTGGAGTTGATTCTAAGTGTGGCATTTTCATTTGGAAGCTGTTGCTGTGAACCCACATCATGCAGTCAAAGGATCTCTCCATGCAGGTGAAACAGACAATTGTTAGGCTTCAAAGACAAAAAAATCAATCAGAGAGATTGCAGGAACATTAAGAGTGGCCAAATCAACAGTTTGGTACATACTGAGAAAAAAACAGAACGCACTGGTGAGCTCAGCAACATAAAAAGGCCTGGACGTCCACGGAGGACAACAGTGGTAGATGATTGGAGAATCCTCTCCATGGTAAAGAAGAACCCTTTCACAACAAACCCCGCCAAGAGAAGAACACTCTCCAGGAGGTAGGCGTGTCACTGTAAAAGTTTACAATCAAGAGAAGACTTCACGAGAGCCAATACAGAGGGTTCACCACAAGATGCAAACAAGGCCAGATTACACTTTGCCAAAAAACATCTAAAAAGAGCACTTCTGGAAAAGCATTCTTTGGATGGCTGAAATTCAGATCAACATGCACCAGAATGACGGGAAGAAAAAAGTATGGAAAAGGCTTGGAACAGCTCATGATCTAAAGCACACAAAATCATCTGTGAAACATGGTGGAGGCAGTGTAATGGCATGAGCATGTATGGCTTCCAGTGGAACTGGGTTACTGGTGTTTTTTTGATGATGTGACAGAGAACAGAATTAGCCGCATGAATTCTGAAGTGTATAGGAATGTACTGCTTGCCCAGATTCAGCCAAATGCAGCAAAGATGATTGAATGGCACTTCATAGTACAAATGAACAATTATGGCATTATTTTACTGACAAATGTCGAGAGCGCATTATTGTAGCGCGAAAGCACATTAACACAATGCGCGAGCGCGAATCTGTGTTCCTTCCACTCAACTTTCATTTAACATGCTTGGATACAGCACTCTGTGAACAGCCAGTTTCTTTGGCAATGAATGTTTGTGGCTCCTTGTGAAGGGTGTCAATGATTGTCTTGTGGACAACTGTCAGATCAGCAGTCTTCCCCATGCTTGTGTAGCCTAGTGAACCAAACTGAGAGGCCATTTTGAAGGCTCAGGAAACCTTTGCAGGTGTTTTGAGTTGATTAGCTGATTGGCATGTCACCATATTCTAATTTGTTGAGATAGTGAATTGGTGGGTTTTTGTTAAATGTGAGCCAAAATCATCACAATTAAAAGAACCAAAGACTTAAACTACTTCAGTCTGTGTGCATTGAATTTATTTAATACATGAGTTTCACAATTTGAGTTGAATTACTTAAATAAATTAACTTTTCCACAACATTCTAATTTATTGAGATGCACCTGTATATATCTTCTGATTTAAGATAGAACTATTTAGATATGGGTC